TCAGTGGTGGGTTTGGCAGAGCTATACGTGATGGTGAGGACTCTGGAAGGGGAACTTGGAGAGCTGTGACCTGAGTGGACTCCTGAATTCTTTCCAACCCTGATTCTTCAGCGTATCAGACTTTCCCCAAAAAAGCAGTCAGAGATCTCCTGCATATCCCAGAAGGGGCCACCTCTCTAACTTCCTCAGCAGCTGCTGGCTGTGGACAAATTCAAGACTTTTGCCCTCTGATGCAAGAAGCTACCTGAGACAAGGTCTTTCGTGTGCCCCTCCTTTCTTCCAACAAGCTCGCTCAGGCTCACCGGTCTTTTCTCCATGCAAGTGCTGTCGTTCACAGCTGTTGGGTGTGAGTGGGGCCTCCCTACAGCTGTTGACAAGAAAAGCAGTTTCCCGCCAGCACTGAAAGATACATGGTCGTCTCACATCTTGATACCACTTCTGTGGGCTGTGACACCTCCACGGACAGGGACAGAGGGACCAGTCTTTTCTCTATTGTGATAAACCTGTGAAATGCAATGCCTTATTTCTGGCTGTTTAGGTTCTGTAAAGTTGGTGTCTTGCCTTGTTTAGAAGTGGATTTCTACTGTGTGCAATAAACTCACTAATGAAAGCGGTTCATGAGTTACAGGTCAGCCTCAAGAGCTGGGACCAAGTCTGCGTTTCTCCTGAATTCGGCTCCCTCTCTGCGCTATTCCTAGAGAAGGTGGGACTGGGTCTTCTCTGAGTATTCATCCTTGTTTTTCACTTAACTCCAGATAGGTAGCTTCCTTTAAGCAGTTGGGCCTCCGACCTGTATGCTTTGAGCTGGGTGCTGTTAAATTTGGTCTAATACGTTTAGAACAAAGATAAGGCTGTGGTTTGTAAGAGGATGGAAGCAGCTCTAAAGTGGGGGGGGGGGCTCTTCCCCCAGTGGCCTCAGGCTCCCACCTTTTCAGCCAGATGCTGTTTTGCTTATCATAGAATGTTAGCATTGGAAGGGACCTCGCAGGTCATCTAGTCCAACCCCCTGCCCTCTGCAGGAGCATAGCCGAAAGATAGCCCTACATACCTACAACGTACCCGAAAGATGGTCGTCCAGCCTTCGCTTGAAAACGTCCAGCAAAGGAGCATTCACCACCTCCCGAGGCAGACTGTTCCACTGCTCAACCACTCTTACAGTTAGGAAGTTTCTCCGGATATTTAGCCGGTAACGGCTCCCTTGTAATTTCCACCCATTAGATCTAGTCTTGCAATCCGGAGCAAGAGAGAATAGATCCGCTCCATCTTCTACATGACAGCCCTTCAAATACTTGAAGACTGCAATCATGTCCCCTCTAAGCCTTCTCTTTCCCAGGCTAAACATACCCAACTCGTTCAGCCTTTCCTCATAAGACTTGGATTCCAACCCTCTCACCATCCTGGTTGCCCTCTTCCGGACACGCTCGAGCTTGTCAACATCCTTCCTAAAATGTGGTGCCCAAAACTGGACACAGTACTCCAGGTGAGGCCTGACCGTAGCAGAATAGAGCGGAACTACCACCTCCCGCGATCTGGACACAATGCTTCCGTTAATGCATCCTAAGATTGCATTAGCTTTCTTCACAGCCACATCGCACTGCAGGCTCATGTTTAGCTTGTGATCAACCAGAACACCCAGATCCCTTTCACATGTGCTCCTGCTTGTCCCCTTGCTTCTATGTCTGCTGTCACTCACACACATGCCCCAGGGAACATTATCAGGATGAGCAGTTGGGAATGAGAAGTGTGCTGAAGAGCACAGCCTGCCTCTTAGCTGTTGATTAGCCTTTTCTTCTGGGATTTGCTTGATCCTTCTGAAAAGCTGTGCACAGCCCTTGTGCCGTGACGTCATCCCGTTTGCACTGAGTTCCCCAAGGGGGCGGCATGAAGATGCGCTTCTTCCATCCTGAAGCCTGCTTCTCATCAGAGTCACTAGAGAATCCCTGAATCATGGGGTTGGGAAGAGTAATTTGATTTGCTCTTCCCTGCTTGTATCTCTTCCAGTAAGTACCTCGCTGAGGCTGTGGATGGCCCAGGGTAGTCAGATCTCGGAAGCTAAACAGAGTCAGCCCTGGTTAAATACAGCCAGTTTGGTGTAGTGGTTAAGTGCGCGGACTCTAATCTGGGAGAACCGGGTTTGATTCCCCACTCCTCCACTTGCACCTGGCTGGGTGACCTTGGGCAAGCCGTAGCTCTGATAAGAGCTGTTCTTGAAAAAGAGCCGTTTCTGTCAAGAGCTCTCTCAGCCCCACCCACCTCACAGGGTGTCTGTTGTGGGGAGGGGAAGGGAAAGGAGTTTGTCAGCCGCTCTGAGACACCTTTGGGTAGTGAAGGGCCATGGGGTATAAATCCAACCTCTTCTCCTTCTAAATACTTGGATGGGAGTCAGTGTTCCCTCCAAGCTGAGTTAGTGTGAGCTAGCTCACAGTTTTTTAGCCTCTGGCTCACACATTTTTGTCTTAGCTCAGGAAGGATGGCTCCAGAGCAATGTACCCTCTAAGCTGTGGAGTCTTGTGAGCAAAAAAATCTACTTTGTGAGCTACTGGCATTCAAGTTGTGAGCGAGCAATTTTGGCTGCTGCATAAATCAGTTTGCTCTGGAGTCATCCTTCCTGAGCTAAGACAAAAATGTGTGAGCCGGAGGCTACAAAACTGTGAGCTAGCTCATACTAACTCATCTTAGAGGGAACACTGCTCCAAAGCAAACTAATTTATGCAGTAGCCAAATTGCTGGCTCACAACTTTAATGCCAGTAGCTCACAGAGTAGAATTTTTGCTCACAAGACTCCATAACTTAGAGGGAACATTGATGGGAGTCCAGGGCTGCTCTACAGAGGCTGACAATGGCAAACCAACCCATGAAGATCTCTTGCCTGGAAAACCCTTATGGGGTCACTGTAAGGGGTTCTAAAGCTGCCTACAGAAATGTGAAATTTGCAGTCCTCTCTAATCCAGAGTGCCCCTTTTGACCTTTGAAGCCCTCAGTGGTTTGGGGTCCAGAATACATTGCCTTGAAAACCCTAAGGGGTTGCCATAAGTTCGCTGTGACATGACGGCTCTTTCCACCACCACCAAGAAGCTTAAACCGTTGCTTGGCTCTGATGCTCACTGGGTGACGTTGGACTTCTCTCTCCGCCCTACCTGCCACACAGCGTTGTTGCAATGATGAAATAGGTTGTTCTCATATGCACTAAAGGAGCTGCGGTGGCTCAAGTGGTTAAGACGCTGAACTGCAGGCTGTGGAAGGTCAGTAGTTCAGCAGTTCGAGACCCGGGTGCCGCAAGACGGAGTGAGCTCCCGTCTCTAGTTCCAGCTCCTGCCAACCTAGCAGTTCGAAAGCAAGAAATTGCAAGTAGATAAATAGGTACCACTTTGGTGGGAAGGTAACAGCGTTCCGTGTGCCTTGGTGTTTAGTCATGCCGGCCATATGACCACGGAAACGTCTTCGGACAGCGCTGGCTCTTCGGCTTTGAAACAGAGATGAGCACCGCAACCCTAGAGTCGGATTCGACTGGCTTTCGAGCAAGGGAACCTTTACCTTTACATATGCACTGCCCTGAACTCGAGCTGATCCAATGTACATCATGATCACAAGTCATGGCTGGCTTGCTAGCAAAAGGGGTAGGCAGTCCGTGGATGTTAGCCCCAAGGGGCTGTTAGCTGTGAAAGGACTAGAGGCAGGCTAGGCTGCTACTGCTCACAAACCAGTAGAGAAGGCTGTTAACCATCTGCCATGCCCATGACCACCACTGGGGACATCCTTAAAAGAGTCCTCATGGATCAGATCAGAGACTTTTCTTAGCCCGTGGTCCTCAGTGGCCAACTGGAAGCCCCCAAAACGGCTGCAAGGAGTAGCCTTCCTCTGGCGCCTCCCTTTACCAGCAACTAGTATTCAGAGGTGTGCTGCCTCTGAGCATGGAGGCTCTATTTAGGTGGCAGAGTGCCTCTCTGTGGATTTGTCCAACTTCCCAGATGGCCCAGGCTAGCCTGCCCTCATCCGATTTCAGAAGCTAAACATGGTCAACGCAGGTTGAAGAAGAGGAGGAAGAAATTGGATTTATACCCCGCCCTTCATTCAGAGTCTCAGAGCGGTTTATAATCTCCTTTCCCTTCCCCTCCCCACAACAGACACCCTGTGAGGTAGGTTGGGCTGAGAGAGCTCTCTCAGGAACTGCCCTTGAGAGAACAGCTCTGACTGAACTATGGCTTGCCCAAGGTCACGCCAGCAACTGCATGTGGAGGAGTGGGGAATCAAACCCGATTCTCCCAGATTAGAGTCTGCACACTTAACCACAACACCAAACAATGCTTGGATGGACGACCAACCCAGGCTTGTAACGGCAGAGCCAGGCAACGACAAACTATTTCTGAAAACTCTATGACGAGTGACCAAACTGGCTCGGGCGCCGCATGCAGCCCTTTCACGCCTATTGTGCAGCTCCCGGCAGGGCGGCCGGGGAAGCTAAATATCGTTAGCAAACCAATATCATGGGACAAATAAATATCATTGTCAATATCTGCTTTTACCGCTTTTGTTATCATTTTTGGCAGTCTCATCTAATGTTAATAAAAAGCAAATTTGCATATTTCCCAGTAAAATGTGTAATATCTGTTCAGGTCTTGTGGCTTTCAAGCATCTGACGTTTATTCTGTGTGGCTCTGACGTTAAGCAAGTTTGGCCACCCCTGCTCTACGGGGGTGCCATAAACCAGCTGCAACATGGCACAGCACCATATTTGGACAGAGGACGAAAAAGTTGGTTCACCTCATGCACAAATAGAAGAAGAAGAAGAGAAGAGATTGGATTTATACCCCGCCCTTCACTTGGAGTCTCAGAGCGGTGTGCGGGGCTGAGAGAACTCTGACACAAACTGCTCTTTCAGGAACAGCTGTGCCAGAGCTTGTGACTGACCCAAGGTCACATCAGCAGGTGCAAGTGGAGGAGTGAGGAATCAAACCCGGGTCTCCCAGATTAGAGTCCGCACACTTAACCACTACACTAAACTGGCTCTCACTGTGGAAACACATACAGAATTCTTCTATATCTGAGACCTAGTTCTAATTTAGTCCTCATGTTCTCCTAATTGACAAAGGCAGTGCCGTGACCAGCACTCCTTACCCTTATTTATTGGTTAATGAAGGTTCGAGAATGTCAGAATGGTTTCTACTGTTGAATGAGAAGCTTCTAACTCAACTTGATCCTCTTGTTGTTGCTTGTTCAATGCTCCTGATGTTTATTGTTGTAAATGGTTATTTAAAAACGAATAAAAATATATATTTTAAAAATGTCGAAACCTCTCTCGGCTTGCCCCCCCCAACCTAAATTTTGCCTTTCTTCATAAGGAAAGTAATCCAAAGTGCCAGCCCCCCCCCATCCCTTTGGTTACCATTCTGGGCTCTTTTCCCCAGGGTCCTTTTCAAGAGGGGCAGAGGTGTCCCTATGGCAAGGAGAGGGCAAGGGCTTCTAAAGCTGCCTACATCTGCCCCATTTCTGGAGGGGCTAAGCCACCCAGAGCAAAGTTCCCGGGACCTGAGGAGCCTTGATTAAGGTTCTGATGTCGGCTAAGCCCCCCTCTCCCCCCCGCCCGGAAATATTAATATAGTCGCTACGTGCAAATCCGTCGGTGGAACCCTGGACCTGCCGCCGGCCGTGGATTAGATGATGTCGTTCAATCATCCGCGGATCCCCCAAGAGATTAAGGTATTTTTTCGGGCAGATTAGGGGGCATTACCAGCGATTGTGGGATGCCAGCGCCCTCCCGCATTTCAGGATATTGGAGAGGCCGCGGCGCGGCGGGAGGGGTCGCCCCCCCCCTCCTGCACAAATCTGAAATGAAAGCGACCAGGCTAAACCGGCAGGGCGTCATAGCTTCTTTTATTGAATTTGCCGGGAGGTGGGTGGGTGGGAGATTAATTTGGCAAGGTGTGTTGTGGGGGGGGGGTTGGATCGTTTAATCCTCCACCGCAGGCAAGCCCGCCTGAGTTTGTGCCTCCCCGCTTTTCTGCAAGACCAGCCGTCGAGGAGTCTCCGGCCAGCCCCTTCCTAGACGGGGCGAACGAACCCCTAGAGCTCCCCCAGGTTGGCCACCAGCGCGGCGCTGTAGATGAGGTCGGAGATGGAGCCCAGGGAGGTCGGCGGCCCGGGGAAGGCGTCCCAGCAGCTGGACAGCGCGGTCCAGACGGCCGCGCCTTCCTCCTCCTCGTCCGGCCACCGAGGGGGCGGGCCCGGCGCGCCTTCCCCGCTGAGGCAGACGGAGGAGCCTCCGGCCAGCGGAGGGGCCGGCGCCTGCTGCTTGCCGAGCTGCGGAGAGGCGCCCAGACGGGGCTGCTTGCTGCTGGCCAGGCCGACTCGACGGCAGGCGGGCGGCTCCACCGCGGGGCTGTTCTTGATCCTCCGGGCGCGCCGGTTCTGGAACCAGACCTGGGCCAGGAGAGGAGGAGAGAGGGGGCCGGGGAGGGGGCGGGGCGGCGACGGGGCGCTCTTCTCCCCCCCCTCCCGGGCGCTCACCTGGATCTTGGCTTCGGGCAGCTGCGTGAGCTCGGCCAGGCGCTCCCGGGTGCCGATGTCCGGGTAGGGCAGGGCGGCGAAGACGCGCTCCAGCTGGCTCAGCTGGCCCCGGCTGAAGGTGGTCCGCTTCCTCTTCCTGGGCCCGCCGGCCCAGCTGCCTCGCTCCGTCCTGGGGCACGGGAGGCTCCCTGCGGGAAGGGAGCGGGGACGAGCAAGGCTTGGTAGTGGCTGGGCCGCCTGAGCCCGGACCCGGACCCTCCTCCTCCGAGGGAAGCCCTCCGCACTCACCCATTCCATGCTCCGCCGCCAGCTCGCCCGCCGCCCCGTCGGGGAAGGCGTAAGGCAGGAAGCGAGGCGCCTCGGCTGTGCCCATCCTTCCTGTCGCCTCCCCGCTGCCCGTCCAGCTTTTATCCCTTCCCCTGAGGGACCGCCTCCTACCCTTCCCCTCCCCCATCTGGGGCCGGCAGCCCCGTCACTGCTCTCGTCCCAACCCGGACAGGTGATGACACTGGCGGGCTTCTCCCCAGCTGCAGCTCTGATGGTGTCTCTCTCTTTCTCCTGGGTTTGGCCTCGAAATGTCACAGCCCAAAGCCAGCTTGTCTTTCAGGGCCTCACATATTGTGTCCCACGTTTTCCCTTCTCTGTGTTTATGGATCTGCTGGCTGAGAATTCCATTCATGGGGGGGGGGGGGGCTTCCAGCTCGGGAAAGCCCTTCTCAATAAATCTATGGAGACTTTTACCTGCCACAACAAGACTCATTCTTGAGCTAGTTCTGAGAAGTTACAAATGGTGGAGCAACCTCTCAGACACCAAGGGAACTGTCCTTGGTGCTGATCTGGCACTTCAGCACCGGCTTGCGTCCTCTTCGAGAGCTGCAGCCCTTCATCTCCCAAGAGACCCTCTTGCCAGCCCATTTGAAGAAGTGTACGACCTCGATCCAAACTACCTCCTTTCCCAGACAGAACCCACCTAGCCACATCCTGCACAGCCCTTTTCAGCATATTAGCAGCTGTGTGTGCTTCCGTCAAGTGGGAGAGGTTGCACAGTGCCCACCCATGGCAAGCATCTGCTGGGCAGGGTGCATCAACCTGGCTGTGGTGCCTGGAATGCTGAGAAGCTGATCGTGCAAGGAGAGGAGGACCTGGTTGAGCACTAGGTAGAGACCCGGTGGTGATGCTGGTGCAAGGAGCAGCTCTACAGGTTCCTTTGGGGGTTTCTGGGACCTGGCTGGCAGTGTGGGAGAAGCTATAAAGGGTTCCACCTTTTCTTTCCATCAGTGCTCCTGAGAGAACTGTGTATGTTAGACATATGTCTGGTGAGCGAGGGCAATTTTCCCTTTGGGTCCCAATTTTATCAGAGGAAGCCAAGTGTCAAAGAGACTTTGACACCTGGCATAAGAGGGAATCACGCAGACATAGACATCTGAAAGCTGTTTGCAATAAAGGCTGAAGCTCTAAAGCAGCTTTGTAAAGAGGGCTGCCGACTCCACATTGGGGCCTGGGGGCCATGGTTTGAAGCAGGGAGGGACCTCAGTGGCGTGTAGTGCCATAAAGCCCAGCCTCCAAAGCAGCCATTTTCTCTAGGTGAACTGGTGTCTATCATCTGGCAATCAGTTGTAATTCTGGGAGAACTCCAGAATTCCCATCTGGAGACTGGCAACCAATGTTCCCTCTAAGCTGTGGAGTCTTGTGAGCAAAAATTCTACTTTGTGAGCTACTGGCATTAAAGTTGTGAGTGAGCGATTTGGCTCCTGCATAAATTAGTTGGCTCTGGAGCCATCCTTCCCGAGCTAAGACAAAAACGTATGAGCCGGAGGCTAAAAAACTGTGAGCTAGCTCACATTAACTCAGCTTAGAGGGAACCCTGCTGGCAACCCTGTCCACAACACCCCAATCCCAGCCCACTGCAGCAAAACCCAAAAGGGAGTTGGGGACACTTTGATTCCATCGGCCCGTCACGGCAGCTTCTGCTCAGTGCTGCTGTTCAGTGTTTAAGGTGCCGCGAGGTTCCCTTTGTGCTTCCACAGAATGCCCTGAGAACAAATCACACCCCACCCCCTCTAATCCCCTGCAAATCAAAGACGTGAGGAAGCTGAAAAAGCAATGCTTTATTTGGCTGCTGGTGTCAGCTGGAAGGGAGCCGCGGCCGCAGCTAGTCCAGATCGGCATCAGATGGGCAACCCAGCCAGTACTTGGCAATCTTGCGCGGGTATTTGGGGTACACATAGTCCACACGGTGTGTGCGCAGGTTAAGGCGATAGTACTCGTCTGAGGGATAGATGCAGGGATGCAAATGTCACTGGAAGTTGAGCTCCTCCAGACTTGCCCCCCCTTCATCCCCCCAAAGCTATTCAATCCCCCCACACACACAATTCCTAGCCTCCCTGCTGCCCTGCCAATACGTTTGTTATTTAATTTTTAATAATGGAGAGTTGGAGGTATCTTAAAATATTCCCCCTGCATGCACACGCAGTTGTGAAAGTGTGGGGGGACATTGGGCAAGGACAGATGTCCGGAAGGCACCCATCCCTCCCTGCATATTTTTTTCTTCTGCTCCATTTTCATCTCTTCTTCCCTGTTCCCAATCCTGGACAGCCCCGAGAACACAAATATTGCACTACAGAATCAGACCGCCTAGTCAGGGCCCTGTTTCCAACAGTAGCCAGCCTGAGATGTCTGGGCAGCAGCCCCAAACATCTCTTCTCTGTTGCTTATCACCAATGGCTGGTACTCAAAGCTATACTGACTTGGAACATGGCTCCTCCATTAAGAGTACTGCAAATGAACATGGTGCTGCATTGGTTTGTCTGCTCTTTTAAAAGAGAATAACCATAAGAACATAAGATAAGCCAGTTTTGGATCAGGCCAATGGCCCATCTAGTCCAACACTTTGTCACAGAGTGGCCAAAAATACCAGGTGCCATCAGGAGGTCCAGCAGTGGGGCCAGGACAATTAGAAGCCCTCCCACTGTTGCCCCCCCCAGCACCAAGAATACAGAGCATCACTTGCCCCAGGCTGAGAGTTCCTATCTATACCTTGTGGCTAATAGCCACTGATGGACTTCTGCTCCATATGCTTATCTAATTCCCTCTTGAAGCTGTCCATGCTTGTAGCCACCGCCACCTCCTGTGGCAGTGAATTCCATGTGTTAATCACTTTTTCCATGTGTTAATCAATCCGCTGGATCCTGTGGCAGTGGCAGTGGATTCCATATGATAAACGCAGTCTTTGGAAAGTATGGTTGGAATCAGGCCACCATTTTGGAAGGAAGCTGTTACTGTGATCAAGTGAGATCCGTATCCTGCCCATAACTCCTTCTTCATTTATCTAGTCCATTAGTCATGAGGCAGGCCAGAGAGCAGCTTCCATTAAGCCATAATGAATGCAACTGCTCACAAGCAAAGAGCACTAAGGGCGTAACTATAATACTTCTATATGCAGTCAACAGCAATGTGCAGTAGTCACATTAAAGGTAAAGGTAAAAGGTTCCCTTGCTCGAAAGCCAGTCAAATCCGACTCTAGGGTTGCGGTGCTCATCTCCATTTCAAAGCCGAAGAGCCAGAGCTGTCCGAAGACGTTTCCGTGGCCATGTGACCAGCATTGACTAAACACCAAGGCGCACGGAACGCTGTTACCTTCCCACCGAAGTGGTACCTATTTATCTACTTGCAATGTCTTGCTTTCGAACGGCTAGGTTGGCAGGAGAGTAGTCACATTACTAGGGGACATAAACATACATCCCACCGAGACCTGAGTTTTGGCCGCTGCAATAGACTCCCAGTTCTTTATTCACAGTTCCCAATTCCTTATTCCCTAATCTGACCAAAAATATCATTCAGCAAGCCAAAGTAAACACTGGACCCCTAAATCGTACACCCTCAGCCTCAGAGACAGTGCTGCAAGGAGGCAGGAATTATTCTCCGGTCCAAAGCTTTGCTTTTGAGCAGAGGTGCCCAACGTCATGCCCTGTGGTCACCACAGTGTCCGCCGACACCTTTCCCGACACCCACCAGGTATTTTTAGAAAGTGGGGGTGGGGTCAGGTGGGGCTTTTGCTGAGCAAGACTTCTGATTGGCCTTTGGAGATCTGATTGGCCACACAGATTTTTTAAAACATTGCTTTGGCAGCAGCTGCCACCCCAGCACGGAGGATCTGAACTGTGTTACTGCAGATTAAAACTGCAGCGGCCATTTGGTGGCTGGCTCTGCCTCCTGCAGCAGCTGTTTGGTGGCTCTGGCCACTATGCTGTGTCAGAATTCCAAAGGGGCCCACAGCCTCAAAGAGGTTGGGGATCTCTGTTTTAGAGCTAAGTCCTACAGATTGGGTGTCCTTCCCCCCCCAGAACTGTTCCCCAGACTCACCTCCCAGGAAGAAATAGACGCTCTGGAAGGGCTGGCAGGAGGCGGGCGAGCCCAGCAGCCAGTCCAGCTCCATGGACTCTGAGCTAGTGTCCCCCAGCCATTTCCAGGCACTTGGCTTCCAGCGGCCCCAGCGGCGGCGGCTGCGATACTTCTTGCGATGCCGGCGTGATGACCTCTTCCTCGAGCGACGTTTAGATGGGCTCTGCGCCACGTAGATCCGGCCGACCATGGCGGCATCCAGCTGGCTTGGCACCCCTCGCCAGTCCTGGCTGATGTAGCGTCGCCTGCTGGCCCCGCCTGACAAGGGAGGCAAGGAGGGAACCGGGGGGGCTCGAGCTAGCTAGAGGCTCCAGGAGGCAGATCTTGCCTCTTTGCTCTGCCACAGACTCACTGTGGCCCCCACAGAGCAGAAGCACATCATGGGAGCCCGTCTGGATGGCCCCGCTAGTCCAACATCCACAACGACCAGCGAGGCCTGCAGCAGGAGATCAGCAGCCCCAACCACTGTTGCTGACCAGATAACAGCAATTCAGAGGTCCACTGCCTCTGAACCAGTGTTCCCTCTAAGCTGAGTTAGTGTGAGCCAGCTCACAGTTTTTTAGCCTCCGGCTCACACATTTTTATCCTAGCTCAGGGAGGATGGCTCCAGAGCAAACTCACGTATGCAGCAGCCAAATCGCTCGCTCACAACTTTAATGCCTGTAGCTCACAAAGTAGAATTTTGGCTCCCAAGACTCCACAGCTTAGAGGGAGCATTGCTCTGAACACGGGGCTGCCATTTCACCTGCCTCTGAGGCTAACAGCCTCTTCTATGAACTTGTCTAATTCCCCTTGGACCCTGTCCTGGGCGGCCCAATCCTAGGGTTGCCAGGTGCGACTTGGGAAATATTTGGGGGCTTTGGGGGTGGAGCCGGGCTGCAAGGATGTGACATCTACTCTGGGAGAGGGGAGGGAAGAAGCACAATTGAACTCCAAAGGCATATAAGGCCCTTATATTAAACAGACCATGTTCCTTTCAAATGCCTTCCCTCCACTGGAAATAATAGAAGATGGGGGCACCTTCTTTTGGGGCTCATATGATTGGACCCCCTGGTCCAATCTTTTTGAAACTTGGGGGGGGGGTTTGAGGAGAGGCACCAGATGCTATGCTGGGGATTGTATGCTATGCTGGGGATTATTAGGAAGGGTATTGAAAACAGATCAGCCAATATCATAATGCCCCTATATAAATCAATGGTGCGACCTCATTTGGAATACTGTGTGCAGTTCTGGTCACCACACCTTAAAAAGGATATTATAGCTTTGGAAAAAGTGCAGAAAAGGGCAACTCGAATGATAAAAGGGTTGGAACACTTTCCCTATGAGGAAAGGTTAAAGCGCTTAGGGCTCTTTAGCTTGGAGAAAAGACGACTGAGGGGTGACATGATCGAGGTTTATAAGATTATGCATGGGAAAGAGCAGGTAAAGAAAGAGGTACTTTTCTCCCTTTCTCACAATACAAGAACCCGTGGGCACTCCATGAAATTGCTGAGCGGTCGGGTTAGAACGGATAAAAGGAAGTACTTCTTCACCCAAAGAGTGATTAACACATGGAATTCACTGCCACAGGAAGTGGTGGGTGCTACAAGCATGGACGGCTTCAAAAGGGAATTAGATAAGCATATGGAGCAGAGGTCCATCAGTGGCTATTAGCCACAAGGTATAGCTAGGGGCTCTGGGGCAAGTGATGCTCTGTCTTCTTGGTGCTTGGGGGGGGGGTCAACAGTGGGAGGGCTTCTAATGTCCTGGCCCCACTGCTGGACCTCCTGATGGCACTGGTATTTCTGGCCACTGTGTGACACAGAGTGTTGGACTGGATGCATGGATTGATTCTCCATTATACCTTATGCGGTCTGGTCTCCATAGGGTATAATGGACTGCCCACCAGACATCCCCTCCCCCCCAATTTCTGATAACCCTGAAGCCGGGGGGGCCCCTCCAAACCAGGGGATCCCCTGCCCCCAACTAGGGATTGGCAACCCTACCCGGGCCAGACCAATCTCATCAGGACTTGCAAGCTAAGCAGGGTCAGCTCACGTTGGTACTCAGATGGGAGACCACCGAGGAAGTCCGGAGCTTGTATGCAGAGGCGGGCAATGGCAAACCACCTCTGAACATCTCTTGCCCACAGGTTTGCCGTAAGTTGGCTGTGACTTGGCAGCAATGTTCCCTCTAAGCTGTGGAGTCCTGTGAGCAAAAATTCTACTTGGTGAGCTACTGGCATTAAAGTTGTGAGCGAGCCATTTGGCTACTGCATACATTCGTTTGCTCTGGAGCCCTCCTTCCTGAGCTAAGACAAAAATGTGTGAGCCAGAGGCTAAAAAACTGTGAGCTAGCTCACACTAACTCAGCTTAGAGGGAACACTGCTTGGCAGCACTTCCAACCAACACTGCCCCCCCCGAAAGCCATCTCAGTCTATGGCCCATGACTACATCACGTAGTTGTGAGGCTTGCGAGTGAACCGTGTGAGGAAGTGCCCAGAGGGTTGGCTGCACTTTAGGCCTCTCCCCCTATCCGATGGCCCCCACTTACTTCGTCGGGAGCCCCCGAAAAGCTCCACAAAGATCTCCTCCCAGCTGTCTTCCTGCAAGAGCGCAAAGTGGTCGAAGACCAGCGACGGGGACGTCTCCTCGCAGTTCTGACGGCTTGGCTGCTTGTCAAAGTCGTAGCTCCAGTAGTGCTTCCCTGTGGGTGGGGAGGGGAGAGGGAGGCGGCTGTGAGGCAATCCACAGGCCCAGCCGTGCTTTAGCTTTCTGGGCTTTCTGCCAGCTCAGTGCTGAGGCCAAAGCAGTGACAGGAGGTGCCTCCGTCTCAAGGACTGTGGTTGATCCCACCCCCTTCTCCATATATGGCGCTGAGGACATTTTATTCCCACAACAACCCTGTAAGGTAGGTCAGGCAGAGAGAGCGCATGTGAGAGAGAGAGAAAACAACTGTGAACATAATAAGGGGGATTCAAATCCAGGCCTTGGGTCCAACCAGTGTTTTCATTCCATTTCGCCCAGTTCCCCTACTTGCTGCAGAACCTGCCCCATGTGGCTTTTGTCCATGGCAAGGAAAAAAGCTAGAGTTGCCACTTTGGTTTGGGAAATGCTTGGAGGTTTTGGAGGTGACGCCTGTGGAGTGCCTGGAAATGGCTGGGGGACACTAGCTCAGAGTCCATGGAGCTGGACTGGCTGCTGGGCTCGCCCGCCTCCTGCCAGCCCTTGGGGAGGGGAGGGGCCTCAGCAGGATATAATGGCATACAGTCCACCTGATAAAGCAGCCTTTCCCCCCAGGGGAACTGATCTTGGTCATTTGGAGATCAACTGTAGTAGTAGTTCTCCAGGTACCACCTGGAGGTGGGCAACCCTACATCTCCCACACCCAACATTCTGTCTGCTGCACTGGCCCTCTAGAGAGGAATAAATAGTAAATGGAAGAGGAAAATGGTACCCCCCCCTCAAGAAACCTAGGCTGCTCTCGGAGTTCAAGGGTTGGTCTTTCTACCTCCCTTCCTGCCCCCTAGAGGCTACAGGAAGAACTGCAGGATCTCTCTAGTAATCAAAGGTATATTTGTTGTAGAAAAAAATCAGAAGTCTTTTTCTATTTGATGTATGCTTTTTCTGATTCTTTTTTGGTTTTCTTCTATTATTTTCTTTATCTTATCAATACAAACTACATTTTTTTAAAAAAAAGGCAGAAGAGAGGGACAAACTGAAGGAGGGAACAACTCCTAAAAAGTGGAGACCCCAAGCAGACAGGAGCGTAGGGACTAAAAGGCTATGTCCTATTTCAACCACAGGTTTTCTCCCCAAAATTAAGTTCTCTGCGGCACTGGATCTGTGATGATTCTGTTTCCCAGACGCGAGTCCCCGGTCCTCAAGGGACAGACGTTTGTTGGTAAACCAGCCCCAGGTCACCCCCATGCCCTATCCGCACAGGTGTGTCGCAAAGGGGAACGGAAGGTCGGTCTGGGTCACCTTTGAAGAAGTAGACCCTCTCGCTGGCAAGGTAGTTCTGAGCAGGCAGCGCAAAAGCGGCATCAATATAGTCGGGAATCCCTTTAAAGCCATGTGAGATGTTGCGGGGGAAATCGGGGTCTAGGACTCCGTCCTCAAAGCGCCAGTATTGGCTCCCCTGTGGAAGAGAGAGGGAAATGTTCCAAAGAAGGGGAGGTGCATGGACTCTGGCTTCCCTGGTCACAATCAATGGATAGATTTACCCCAAAACAATGCTTGCCACCAGGGCTCAGCTGTGCCTGGAGGGTACATGCGCTGCCCCCGGCCATGCTTCCTTGCTGCCCTTTGGAGACCCCTTCTCTCACACACTCTGTACAAAATAGGGCTGCCAGCTCTGGGCTGGGAACTATCTGGAAATTTGGGATGTGGAGCCTGGGGAGGGGAGAGACTTCAGCAGGCCATAACACCATGGAATCCATCCTCCAAAGCAGCCATTTTCTCCAGAGGAACTGATCATAGATGTCTGCGGATCAATGGTAAGAGCAGGAGATTTCCAGATGCCCCCTGGAGGTTGGCAAGCCAAGGACATTTTAGCCCTGCTTCCAGTGCAGCACACTTTCTGGGCACCTCATTTCTTCCGAGCGACAGTACCCCCTCCCATGGCCCCTCTGTCTTGCCCGGCGTTGTGATCCTCATGCGCCACCCATTCTTAACTGCCTGCTCTGTAATGTCACAGAGCCATGGAGTGCAATATGCCCCACTGGGACTTAAGGGATGTGGCTCAGTGGAAGACCTTCTGCTTCGCATGCAGAAGGTCCCAGGTACAACCCCTGGCACCTCCAGTTTAAAGGACCAGGCAGTAGGTGATGGGAAAGACCTCCGCCTGAGACCCTGGAAAGCTGGTGCCAGTGTGAGCAGACAATACTGAACTTGATGGACCAGGGCTATTTTTGGGCAGGAACGCACAGGAACGGAGTTCCGGCTGGCTCCCGAGTTGGCCACGCCCAGCAGAAGCAGGAATTCATTAGCATAATAGGCCACACCCAACAGCAGAAACTCATTAGGATTGGCTACATTAGGGGTGTGTGGCCTAACATGCAAAGGGTTCCTGCTATAAAAAAAAGCCCTGGGTTTTGACAACAAACAAGGTTAACAGAATAAGAAGCAAAAGGTGAGTGTGGCTGGATGACCACACTTCTGGTAATGTTGGTGTGTGGCATAATATGCTAATGAGCTGCTCTATCAGGGGTGTGGCCTAATATGCTAATGTATTTTTTGCTGTTGGGTGTGGCCTGTTATGCTAATGAGTGCCTGCTGTGCTTTTTCTACAAAAAAGCCCTGTGATGGACCAATGGTCTGATTCAGTAAAAGGCAGCCCCGCATGCATATTTTATTTATTTTCTCAATATCACAACCCACCTTGAAGATGTAGGTCTTGCCCTGGCAGTTGATGCGGGTGAAGGCTGCATCTATCGGTCCCTCGATGCCCCACACTTCCTGGATAAGTTTCGGGTACCCGGGCATTGCACTCTTCTCATCAAGTTCATAGAAATATTTCCCTGGATTGCAAAGTGAGGGAGAATACTGTATTTGTGCCCTTTTGGGGGCACAGTGCCAGTTGGGAGGGGAGTCCCTTGTTCCCCCTGGGGCACGGAGCATTTGCTTCTTCCTCAGCAGTGGGCAGCCCTTTGGGACGCCACTTGAAAGGGGCAGCCAGCTACATCGCATTCCAACAGGAATGGCTTGCTGAATGCTTTGGGTCACACAATCCCGTGCACCTCCACCCAGGTTCTGCACTCCTTTGGATATAATTGGCACAAGACCCTCTCGCAAGGTGCCAGAGGGTTCTGCATCCCGAAATCTCAGAGGGTTGCAAGCCAAAAAAGTAATATTACCCCAAGGGAGTGTTTAGACATCCAGGCCAGCAGGGGAAACCGATAGCCCTGGATGCATTTGCCATATTTGTTGTGGGTGAGTGGGGTCTTGCTCGCTAGATGAAAAGAGCTCTTCCCCCCTTCCCTCCTGGTCATCCCCGTACCACGGAAGGCATAGATGGAGCCATTTTTCACTGTCAGGAAAGCATCAAAGGGTTTCCCGCTGCACAGGAACTCATCTTCTGACTCCTGGGTGACTGCCTCTGGCTCAGGTGGGAGGGTTGGACCAGCGGCTGCCACAGCCTCTTCGGTTGGCCAGAACTCCTGTGGGTCGCTGCTCACTGGCTCCAAGAAGCCAGTGTTGGTGGGGACAGGGGCCGTGGCATTGGCGAGATCGACAGGGGCCGTGGCATTGGCGAGATCGACGTCATAGTAATCCAGGTACTCGTCCTCTGGCTGAAAAAAGACATCCCCACGGGTCACTGCAGTGGGGGGAAACCACACAAAAAGGTTAGCCATTTGGTGATACCCTCAACCTTGCACATTTAGTGTGATCCTGGGGTCACTGAGGCTGGGCTCCCAAACTGTTTCCAGTGCTGGGCTTTAGACTTGGAACACTGGGTGTAAATAATCATTGTGCCTCTGAGCATGTGAGAAGTATCTTTTTCTCACTTCTACGATTAAAGTTGCCACCTTTTCTTAATGGGACTGGGTGCCTCTAGCATCTTTCATAGATGACATTTTGCCTACCATGTCCATAGAAGCTTTAGCTATTGGAGAAGGGCATTTTTATACAGGTAATGGGGAATGGTTCAAGAAGGTGCTTTTATCAAGGGAACAAGACAGTGTACTATACATGCAGTATGTATTATACATGCAGTATGTATTATCTGTTTGCTGTGTGGATCATCATGCTCTCACTGCATTGTGTTCTGCCTACATAATATTATTTCTGCATTGCTTAGCACATTGTGTCTAATACTTTATACTTTGTTTCAGGTTTCTGTAATCCTAGTCCTATCACATTGCTTATTAGATGTCTCATCCTGTTGGTTGCAGTGATTTACACACTGTGTAAATCCGCCTCAGGTCTCAGTAAGAAAGACAGACTGTAAATAAGTAAATAAAATAAAATAAATAGAATAATGTCACTGTGTCTTGGGGGGGGGAGTGTCATGCAGGTAGGATCGCCAACTCCATCTTGAGAAATTCCTGAGATTTTAGAGCTTGAAAAGGGCACAGTTTTCGGAGGGGAGGGAGTCACAGGGGATTTGATCCCTTGAAATAGGTTGTCAGCCTCCAGGTGGGCAACTAACACACAGGGAACACGGCAAAGTTAGACAAACATTAAAAAACCACCGTGTTAGAACAAAACACACTCTACTAATATGCACTTGTGTCTTCATATGTTGATTTACATACCACAGAGACCCTAGTATATCTTACACACATTCATTATAGTACAAAAACCTAAAGTACATTTTTTGTTGTTGTTCAGTCGCACAGTCGAGTCCGACTCTTTGCGACCCCATGGACTAGATCCCGCCAGGCCCTCCTGTCTTCCGCTGTCCTCTGAAGTTTGCTCAGTTTCATGTTCGTTGCATCGATGACACTGTCCAACCATCTCATCCTTTGCCGTCCCCGTCTTCTTTGACCTTCAATCTTTCCCAGCATCAGGGTCTTCTCCAGTGAGTGCTCCCTTCTCATTGGGTGGCCAAAGTATTTGAGCTTCATTTTCATTATCTGGCCTTCCAGGGAACAGTCAGGGTTGATTTCTTTTAGGATTGACTGATTTGATCTTCTTGCAGTCCAAGGGACTCTCAAGAGTCTTCTCCAGCACTGTACATTATATATCTACTAATAGAAAAGTCCACAGCTACAGAGACCTACAGATTCTTCTTGTATAGAATTGTTGACTTATGCACTGTAAAATTGTGACCTTTGGTTCCAGGAAAAATAAGTCTGCCTGAAGAAGAATCTGTTGAAACACGCAATTTTTGCCTAGGAGGTGTGTCCTGTATCACTTTTTGTGGAGAATATAACAGCCTGGTGCATCTCTCATCATTTATGACTGTTGCAACCTCCATCAGTCTCTTATCAGGAGCAAGATAGTCTACAGCATTGGAATAGGTCTCTGTAGCTGTGGACTTTTCTACTAGTAGATATATAATGTACTTTAGGTTTTTGTACTATAATGAATGTGTGTAAGATATTCTAGGGTCCAGGGGTCATTTCATAGAAAAAGAGGTGCAGGAGCTCATTAGCATAACTTATTTGCATATGCCACACCCCCTGACATCACCGGAAGTGTGCCAGAAGGTAACACCCACTGCTCAGGCTCCACTGGACTGTTTTGGATTGCTAGCTTTTTGGGGGGGGGGGAATGTGCAGATCTGTCCACGCAGAGGAGGGAGAGCTTGAACCTGAATAAAACTTGGTCTTAATGGTGCCACTAGACTGTTTTGAACCCGGGGGCTGGGGGGAGCTCTGCAACTTACCTGGCTGCTTCTTGCTCTGACTGAGGGCTGCTGGGAGCAGGGGGTGGGGCTTGTTGCATGTGCCCGCCCCCTGGGCTCTTTACTGCCAGAGCGCCACTCCTGTGTGCTCCTGCAGGAAATGACCCCTGCGAGGGTCTCTATTGTATGTAAATCAATATATGAAGACACCAGTGCATATTAGTAGAGTGTGTTTTGTTCTAACACGGTGGTTTTTTATGTTAGCCTCCAGGTGGGGCCTGGGGATCTCCCGGAATTGCAGCCGATCTGCAGACTACAGAGATCAGCACCCTTGGAGAACACGGCTGCTTTGGCGGGCGGACTCCATGACACTGTACCCTGCTGAGGTCCCTCCCCTCTCCAAGCCTTGCCTCAGGCTCCACCCCCTAAACATCTCCAGGTATTTCCCAACACACAGCTGACAACCCTACGAAAGCGGCCCTTTCCTCCCCGGGGGAACTGATCTCTGTTGTCTGGAGGTCAGCTGGAATTCCAGGAGAACAGTGGGCCCCACCTGGCGGTCGGTAAGCCTAGTTGCAGGCACAAGCTCACCACTTGTTTAGGACCCCTGAGTTCCAGGTCTGCACCCAGCAGAAGCTCACTCGCCGTCACTGCCGTGATGCCACTTCCAGTGTTCCCTCTAAGCTGGGTTAGTGCGAGCTAGCTCACGGTTTTTTATCCTCCGGCTCACAGATTTTTGTCTCAGCTCAGGAAGGGTGGCTCCAGGGCAAACTAATGCATGCAGTATTTTTATTTATTTATTTTATCAAATGTATATCCCGCCCTCCCCGCCAAGGCGGGCTCAGGGCGGCTTACAACATACAGATAAATGTGACTATTAAAAACTCCGGCTATATAAAACAACCTCAGTTTAAAATACAATCTAAAATCATAGCTAAAGGAAAAGGTTCCCTTGCTCGAAAAGCCAGTCGAGTCCGACTCTAAGGTTGCGGTGCTCATCTCCGTTTCAAAGCTGAAGAGCCAGCGTTGTCCGAAGACTTCTCCGTGGTCATGTGGCCGGCCTGACTAAACACCAAGGCGCACGGAACGCTGTTACCTTCCCACCGAAGCGGTACCTATTTATCTACTTGCAATTTCTTGCTTTCGAACTACTAGGTTGGCAGGAGCTGGAACTAGACATGGGAGCTCACTCCATCATGACTAAACACCAAGGCGCACGGAACGCTGTTACCTTCCCACCGAAGCGGTACCTATTTATCTACTTGCAATTTCTTGCTTTCGAACTACTAGGTTGGCAGGAGCTGGAACTAGACATGGGAGCTCACTCCATCATGCAGCACCCAGGTCTCGAACTGCTGAACTACTGACCTTCCACAGCCTGCAGTTCAGCGTCTTAACCACTTGAGCCACCGCGGCTCCTTAAAATCATAGTTACACAGCACTTAACTGTAATACAAAACGGCGACATGCTGTCATCGTTCGATTGGCCGCTTCCAGGCGCCTGCTAGGCTGTTACTCACCCGGCTGGTGGTGATGTGAATAGTAAGGCCAGGTTGGTATAATGTCGATGTTAATGTTAGCCCAATCGCTCGCTCACAACATTCATGCCAGTTAGCTCACAAAGTAGGATTTTTGCTCACAAGACTCCACAGCTTAGAGGGAGCACTGGCCCCTTCCTGCAGCCAACCTGTTCCAGACGCCCCTCCACGCACCCACACTGTCCTTGGGTCTCCCCAGCCGTGCTGCAAGGCCACTGTCTCCACCCTTCTGGATTTGTGGGTCCGGATTGAGGACTGGCTGGGATGAGGGGAAGGGCACTGGGAAAGTGTGTGCCAGGCCAGACTAGCTCACACATTGGGCATCTGGCTGGAGAGCTGGGGGAGGGGGGCCACTTCAAGCTGGGAGGAGGGGATACCTTTGGGTTTGCAGGCTGTGATGTAATCGTTGCAGCAGCTCTGGTAGTACATGCAGAGGTCGTCGCACTGGCATTTCTTCTGGTCGTCGAAGCCCTTGTCGCAGCGCCCCACGCAGGACTCTGCAAAAGAAAGACCCCCAAACGGTCACAGGGAGGGAGAGGAGCTGAGCAGGCGGCTGGCTGTTTTGAACCCAGGGCTCTTTGGTGGTTCCCATCCCTCTGCTTGTGGTTTGCCGGGCAGGCAGCTTGCTCGGCTGGAACAGACTGACAGACCATCTCGCTCCACATCCTGCGTCCAGGAGTGGCCAGTCTGAAGCCTCTGGGATTAGGTACACCAGCCGCACAGGAGGCAAACAGACCATTCCCCCGTCTACTGTCTTGTATTAAGTGATAGACTGCCTCTTAACAGGGAGGCTCTATTTTGTTATCACGGTGACGGACTCATCCTCTGCAAATTCACCACTGCCCTTTAAAAAGTAGGCAAGCAAACAGCCACCATCACAGCGGCGGCGGATGCCTTCCGTTAATTATGCCCGCAGAAGGAGTTTCTTTTGTCAGATCTGAATCTCCAGCCAATCGATTTAATTGGGGTGACGGGGGTCTAGCATAAAGCCACCGGGAAAGAGAGAGGAAAACGCCCTGCATTCCTCCCCTGTCTCCTCTCCCAAGATCGAGCTGTTCCCAATTCCCCGCGGGGCTCCCTCGTCAACAACCCAAATGGAGTGGGAACGGGGACCCCACGGGGGCACTGCACTCACCCTCTGCGGCGAAGGCCCCACACAGCCAGCCCAGCAGCAGGGCCCCTAGCAAGAGCCGCATGGCTCGCCAACACTCTGTCCCCAGTCTGACTGGCTCTCTTCAGGAGGCTGGCAGCTCGGCCAGATTGGGAACAAACAAGGTCAGGAGGGTATTGGCCTGGGCAGGCCCAGCTCCTCCCCCTCTGGGGCTGGCTCCAGTCTCTTTGTGTGCTTTCTGGGTCAGCCAACTGTCAGCTGTTTCAGGTTGGCACGCGTCATTCTCCCCCTCCTTCCTTTTATCCCCCCAACACCCCTGCGAGGTAGGTTGAGCGGAGAGAGCATGAGTGGCCTAAGGTGGCCCAGGGAGCATCAGGGATGAGCCAGGCACCCTCATGTTACGTCATGCTGCCAATCTGGCCCTGGGGGCTCCTTGCCCTCCCATCTCACTTTTCAACGCAAAGGGGCAGAGATCCAGGGCTGCAGCCATGGGTGTGGAAAGGGGCCTTGGTCCCTCCTCAAAGGGGCGTTCTGGCAGTCCAAGAACCTCACAGGGCAAAGGGACTGGGTAAGTCAGTCAGGCTGGGCAGGTAGGGATGCCAGCCTCCAGGTGGGACCTCTTGGGGGTTCTTCCAGAACGACAGCTCATCTCCAGACTACAGAGATCACTTCCCATGGAGAAAAGGGAAGCTTTGGAGAGTGGGCTCTATGGCCTTGTACTCCACTGAGGCCCCTGTCCTTCTGAGGCTCCATCCCCAAATCTCCAGGAGTTCCCCAACATGCGTCCGGCAACCCTGCCCCCTATCCCCCGCTGGGGGCCAGGGGGGACCTGGCAAAGATCAGGTGTGCCAGAGCCTCCTGCATCATAGCAGAATTTCTTGCAAGAGCTTTTCTTTTTTCTCCTTCTTGTTGCCTAATGGGAACACAGCAAACCCTTTGGAATTGTCAGACTCTTAGTGGAGTGGAACCAAAGGACTCCAGTCTCTTACTTGGCCTCGGAAGACAGCGGTCATTTCCTACAGGAGCGCACAGGAGCGGAGCTCCGTCAGTAAAGAGCCCAGGGGGCGGGCACATGCAACAAGCCCTGCCTCCTGCTCCCAGCAGCCCCGGGCCACGAGGAGCGAGAAGCAGCCCTCCTTCTTTCCTTCTCTCCCTCTTTCTTTCTCTCTCTCTCTCTCTTTCTCTCTCTCTCTCTCTCTCTTTCTTTCTTTCTTTCTTTCTTTCTTTCTTTCTTTCTTTCTTTCTTTCTTTCTTTCTTTCTCTCTCTCCTTCCTTCCTTCCTTCCTTTCTGTACAGATCTGTGCGTTCCTTCCCCCCAGCTAGCAATCCAAAACAGTCCAGTGGCACCTTTAAGGCCAAGGTTTATTCAGGTACAAGCTCTCCCTCCTCTGTGAGGGCAGATCTGCGCCCCCCCCCCCCATAGCTAGCAATCCAAAACAGTCTAGTGGGGCCTGAGCGGGGGGGGTTGCCTTCTGACACACTTCTGGTGATGTCAGGGGGTGTGGCATATGCAAATAAGTTGTGCTAATTAGTTATGCTAATGAGCTCCTGCACCTCTTTTTATACAAAATGACCCCTGGAAGACGGTGATGGGTGAGATGAGTTTTCCGTATTTTGCTTTTAGGAGAGTGATCAGAAGGGACTTAACCAGCCAAATGTGGGGCACTGCCTTACCATCTGAGCAGGGACTGTCTGTGGCAGAAGCCAGAGCCAAAATTAACTTTAAGGTGTTCACTACCAGGCAGCAGCAGTGCTAGGGTGCCCAACTTCCAGGTGGTTAGTTAAACCAAAGGAGCGCACAGGAAAGATTGTGTAAACCAAAAATAAGACACACCATGCTAACTGTGGTGGCTCACGTGGTTAAGACGCTGAACTGCAGACCGGAAGGTCAGTAGTTCAGCAGTTCGAGACCCGAGTGCCGCATGACGGAGTGAGCTCCCGTCTCTGGTCCCAGCTCCTGCCAACCTAGCAGTTCGAAAGCAAGGAATTTCAAGTAGATAAATAGGTACCGCTTCGGTGGGAAGGTAACAGCGTTCCATACGCCTCGACGTCTAGTCATGCCGGCCACACGACCACAGAGACGTCATTGGACAGCGCTGGCTCTTCAACTTGGAAACGGAGATGAGCACTGCATCCCTAGAGTTGGATTCGACTGGCTTTTGAGAAAGGGAAACCTTTACCTTTTACCTTTACATCCAATCCATAACTCTCCTGGGTATATAACAAACTATTTCAAATACATAAATACAATTGAACAGAACTTATGAAAGTTTTTTCATCTGAAGATGCCTCGTGGCTTGACTTCAGGTATGGCTGCAAGTTCTTCTAGAACAAATCTCAGTTGGCTACGCATTTCAAAAATTTTCTTTGTCAAAGCCAGTACGAAAAACAGTCTGTGTTTCTCTAAAGAGTCACCCAATGTTCACAGCTACAGCCTGCAGACAGTGGGATGTGACTTCTGGTGTGTCTTTCAGACACCGTCTGTATCATAAGTTCTGCTCACTTGTATTTATGTATTTGAAATAGTTTGTCAAACTTCCAGGTGGTGATCTCTCGGGACGTGCTCTCTGGGAAATAGAAATCAGTCCCCCTGAAGAAAATGGCGACTTGGGAAGTTGGACTCTATGGCAGTATATCCCACTGAAGTCTCTCTCCTTGTTTTGTTCATTCGCACAGTCGAGTCCGACTCTTTGCGACCCCATGGACCAGATCACGCCAGGCCCTCCTGTCTTCCGTAGTGCTCCGGAGTTTGCTTAATTTCATGTTGGTTGCCTCAATAACACTGTCTAACCATCTCATCCTTTGCCCTCCCCTTCATCTTTGACCTTCACTTCCCAGCATCAGGGTCTTCTCCAGTGAGTGCTCCCTTCTCATTTGGTGGCCAAAGTATTTGAGCTTCAGTTTCATTATCTGGCCTTCCAGGGAACAGTCAGGGTTGATTTCTTTTAGGATTGACTGATTTGATCTTCTTGCAGTCCAAGGGACTCTCAAGAGTCTTCTCCAGCACCATAATTCAAAAGAATCTATTCTTCGGTGCTCGGCGTTCCTTATGGTCCAACTCTCGCAGCCATACATTACTACTGGGAATACCATTGCTTTGACCATACGGACTTTTGTTGGCAGGGTGATGTCTCTACTTTTTATTATGCTGTCAAGGTTTGCCATCGCTTTCCTCCCAAGGAGCAGGCGTCTTTTAATTTCGTGGCCGCAGTCACCATCTGCAGTGATCTTGGATCCAAGGAATGTGAAGTCTGTCACTGCTTCCACAACTTCTCCTTCTATTTGCCAAGGAGTGATGGGGCCGTTTGCCATGAGCTTAGTTTTTTTTTTAATGTTGAGTTTCAAGCCAACCTTTATATTGGCTTATGCCTCCTGTAAGCCGCCCTGAGCCCGTGTAGCGGGAAGGGCGGGGTATAAATTGAATAAAATAAATAAATAAATAAATAATGAATAAATAACCTTTGCACTCTCCTCTTTTATTCTTAGCAAGAGGCTCTAGATCCTCTTCACTTTCCGCCATTAGAGTGGTATTGTCTGCATATCTGAAGTTGTTGATGTTTTTCCCAGAAATCTTAATTCCGACTTCTGAATCATCCAGGCTGACATTTTGCATGATGCATTCTGCATATAAATTAAATAAGCAAGGGGACAATATACATCCTTGTCGTACCCCTTTTCCTATGCTAAACCAATCAGTTGTTCCATATCCTGTTCTAACCCTAACTGTCTCTTCTTGAGACATGTCGCTTCTCAAGAGACATGTGAGGTGATCTGGTACTCCCATCTCTTTAAGGACTTGCCATAGTCTCTCCTTCCCACCCACCCCAAATCTCCAGGAATTTCCCAACCTGAAGCTGGCAACCCTAAACCCTGGGGAAATGGCCTAGGAGGAGGGCAGAGTTTGAGTAAGAGAAGGAACCAGCGGGCGTCCATATATGGCCTCCCCGAGGTTGCTGTCTCCTACCATCCACCTACCAGCAACTGGCCATATCCATCAGTACGAATGGGTCGGAATTTTCACCGGCAGCTCTAACTACTGATTTTAAATGCTTATAATGTAAATGTTTTATTGTGCTTTAAACGTTACTGTATTATTGACGATGATGTGACCCGCCCTGAGCCCGCTCGTGGGATGGGCGGGATACAAATACAACAAATAAATCAATAAACCAGCAGGGATACCACGTCCCAGAGTCAGCCCGCGAAGGCTGCCCTTTCCTCCAGGGGAACTGAGCCGTGTAGTGTGAAGATCCGGTTGTAAATCCAGGAAAAAGCCATGCTCTGCCTGGGAGTTGGTAACCCTGCGACCCTGTCCCTGTGCCCCTCAATGGAAGCAGTAGGCCACCACCACCCCCTCTCCCCAGCATCATGTGGTGGAGTTTGCTCCCTGTATGGGCTTCCAGATCAATTCACCCCAGTTACTAATTAATATGAACTCCTGATCTCCCTTTCAGTGCCTCCCTCCTCCCTCCCCTCCCCTCCCCTCCCCTCCCCTCCCTCTTGGGACAGAGAACAAATGAAGCTGGGGACGGCCTGTTTGGCATGCCTCCTGGCTGTTGTTGCTAGGCCCAAAGGACAAGAAAAACGAGCCAAATCACCAAACAGCCTTTCAAGCAGTGCCTGTTCCGAAATGAACAGTAAGAGCTTCCCAGAGCTGATTGTTTCCAGTTTTATAAAAAAAGAAAGAAACAAGTTTCTTCCTGGACCTCCGCATTCCAGAAAACAGGATAGCAAAACACATAAACAACAGGCCATGCGCGCTTTAATCAGTTTGACTAGTACAGACCACCTCTTCGCTGCCCTGGATTGCCAGGCAGAAGAGAGGCCCATTTCCTCCCCAACTCTCCAGACTTCGAAGGCTAGAACTGCCAGTGCCATTGGTGAGGGAGGGGAGGGACTTTTAAAATGGCAAACAGCCATTTTCTCCAGCGAACTGATCGCTGTCAGCTGGAGATCAGTTGTAAAAGCTGGGGTCATTTCGTAGAGAAAGAGGTGCAGGAGCTCATTAGCATAACTTATTTGCATATGCCACACCCCCTGACATCGCGGGAAGTGTGTCAGAAGGCAACGCCCACCGCTCAGGCTCCACTGGACTGTTCTGGATTGCTAGCTATGGGGGGGGGGGAGAACGTGCAGATCTGTCCTCGCAGAGGAGGGAGAGCTTGTACCTGAACAAACCTTGGTCTTAAAGGTGTCACTGAACTGTTTTGGACTGGGAGGCCGTGGGGAGCTCAGCAACTTACCTGGCTGCTTCTTGCTCTGACTGAGGGCTGCTGGGAGCAGGGGGGGCTCGTTGCATGTGCCCGCACCCTGGGCTCTTTACTGCCGGAGCTCCACTCCTGTGCGGTCCTGCAGGAAATGACCCCTGTGTAAAAGTAGGAGATCTCCAGGCCCCACCTGGAGGCTGACAACTCTAACTAAGGGCAGGGTGAGTATGCCTTTACTAGGGTTGCCAGCCAGCAGGTGCATCCTGCAGATCTCCCTGAATTATAGCTGGTCTTCACACTTAAGAGACTGGAGATAATAGCTGCTTTGGAGGGTAGACTCCATGGCAGGGGTGGCCGAACTTGCTTAACATAAGAGCCACATAGAATAAACATCAGATGTTTGAGAGCCGCAAGACATGAACAAATGTTACACATGTTTTTATTGGAAAATGTACACATTTGCTTGTTATTAGCATTAAATGAGACTGCCAAAAACAACAACAAATGGGGTTAAAAACAGATATTGATAATGATATTTATTTATCCAATTATATTTGTAGGGGGGGGGGCTCTTAGAACGCATTTAAAGTTAAAGTTGCTTTCTTTCTCTGCTCCCCCCCCCCCATCTTAAGCCTACCAAGGGAGGGGAACCCTGGCTGGAGAAGGGAAGACTGATCAAGGAGGCATGCCTTCCCATTGCTTCTCCAGCTGTCCTGCTGGGAGCCACAAAATATGTGTGAAAGAGGCGCATGTAGCTCCCGAGCCACAGTTTGGCCACCTCTGCTCTATGGCAATATACCCTGCTGAAGTCCCTCCTCTCCCTAAACCCCGCCTTCCCTCGGCTACACCCTCCAAATCTCCAGGAATTTCCCAACCCACCACTGAAAACCTATAAGTTGTGAGGGGCAGGCCATGAAAAGCAATAACTGATGCTGCTCAAAGAGGCGAGGAATGTCCCACCCCTGCTTTGCTTCCACGATGTGCTTCTCTTTACCTTAAGTGCGGAGACGTTTTGCAGCACAGAAGGAGCTTGGCTTCCTCTAGACAAGAGACCTCTGGAGATGTAGGCTGTTTCTACAGGGATATTTTGCTCTACTGTAGCTCCCGGCACTATTGGGGGGGGCGCTTTGGGGGCATCCTTTATTTCTCCAGCTTACGTGTTTCCCCCACGTTGCTGTGATCTTTCCCAAATCTGATTTGGTACAGAACAAAGTCTGAGTCATGTGCATGCACCATGAAAGCTTATACATCCAGAATAAAACTCTGTTGGTCTTAAAGGTGCCACTAGACTCAAACTTTGTGCTGAACTGCAGGCTGTGGGAGGTCGGTAGTTCAGCGGTTTGAGACCCGAGTGTGCCGCATGACGGAGTGAGCTCCCGTCTCTAGTTCCAGCTCCTGCCAACCTAGCAGTTCAAAAGCAAGAAATTGCAAGTAGATAAATAGGTACCACTTTGGTGGGAAGGTAACAGCGTTCCGTGCGCCTTGGTGTTTAGTCATGCCGGCCACATGACCATGGAAACATCTTTGGACAGCGCTGGCTCTTCGGCTTTGAAACGGAGATGAGCACCGCAACCCTAGAGTCAGACTCGACTGGCTTTCGAGCAAGGGAAACCTTTACCTTTACTTACAACCTTTGGTGTAGTGGTTAAGTGCGCGGACTCTAATCTGGGAGAACCGGGTGATTCCCCACTCCTCCACTTGCACCTGGCTGGACGACCTTGGGAAAGCCGTAGTTCTGATAAGAGCTGTCCTTGAAAAACAGCAGTTTCTGTCAAGAGCTCTCTCAGCCCCACCTACCTCACAGGGTGTCTGTTGTGGGGAGGGGAAGGGAAAGGAGTTTGTAAGCCGCTCTGAGACACCTTTGGGTAGTGAAGGGCGGGGTATAAATCCAATCTCCTCTTCTCTTCTTCTCCTTCTTCTGGGAAAATCGCAGTTGATGCACCTTCCTCCCTCCTTCCTTGGAACTGGAATCTACTTAGCAGGTCAGCCGGCAAATGCTCCCTGTTGTTGAAAAGATAGCCCCCCCCCCCCCTCCAGTGCTGCAGAGCAATTGCTTGACAGATCCCTGCACACAAAAGAGACCCATTCTGGGACTTTGAGAGCCAGTTTGGTGTAGTGGGTAGGAGTGCGGACTCTAATCTGGGAGAACCGGGTTTGATTCCCCACTCCTCTACATGCAGCTGCTGGTGTGACCTTGGGTCAGTCACATATTCTTTCAGAGCTATTCTCTCACGAGCAGTTCTTAGGAGAGCTCTCTCAGCCCCATCTACCTCCCATCGCTACCACCTGGAGATCAATTCTAAGATTGATAGAGGCTGGCAACCCTATTCCACGTCATTGGACTATGCACCACTGACCACTTCTCTGAAATACTATTTGCCGTGTGGGTGTGGGAGAGGAAAAAATGGATTCCGGGTTTTGAGCTCATTGGGGACAGCTCTGGCTGGCAGAATTGGATATTTGGGGAGCTGTATAGGCATTGCTGAAGACAGGACAAGGCCCCCCAAGTTTAGGAACATAGCAGGTAAAAGCACCTCTGCCTCCATGTACAAAGATAATCATTGGCCCCGGTCACACGGAGCATTAGCCACGCTACAGAGACGGAAGATAGGCAGATTTTCCGGGCGTGATCACAGTGCCTCATTTGGGAAGCGTAGAGCTCCCGTGGCTCACCCGAGGCTTCCTGCTCCATCTATTATTGTAATTCCCAAACAAGGCAAAGATCCAGCCCAGCCAGCCTCCTACCACCCTATTTTTGAACACAGACTTCAAAATTTTCACTACAATCTTAGCTTCCAGACTAAAATCCTTCATAACAAATTATATTGAACAAGATCAAGTTGATTTCATGCCAGACGTGACATCGCGGAAAATACTCACAATTCTCAACCATTGCACTTCCAATAAAATTCCAGCCGCTTTTCTGTCCCTGGATTTGGAAAAAGCTTTTGATTCAGTGGAAGTCATATATTTACAACAAATGCTCCAGAAGATGGGCTTCGGAGACAAATTTCTAAATGCTATCGCCAACAGCCCCGCCCCCCCCCCCCCGCATTTTCCGGCCCGTATGACCGGGGCCTTAATTCTCTTTAAAAACAGAAGATTCTGAGCCTCGAACCCTCCCCTCCGGTTGCCCTGGAAATAGGGTTGCCAGTCTCCAGGTGGCACCTGGAGATCTCCTGCTATTACAGTTGATCTCCAGACAACCAAGATCAGTCCCCCTGGAGAAAGTGGCTGCTTCAGAGGGTGGACTCCGTGGCATTACACCCTGCTGAGGCCCCTCCCCTCCCCAAACCTCTCCCCAGGCTCCGCCCCCAAAATCTCCACATATTTCCCAACCTGGAGCTGGCAACCCTGCCTGGAAGTCATGGCCCTAAGCACATAGGAAGGCACCAAAAGGCCTCCCATGGATGCACGAAGGCACTCTGCACATGCTCAGTAGAACCCTCTGTTCCTTTCACATGAGCCAAAGGCACCGAAAGAGGCTGTGGGCCTTTGCCTGATGGGTTCGTATTAAGAGTGGGGCATAAAATTAGGAAAGGAACCCTCCCTGCTCAAGAGGAGAGGCGAAAGTGCAGGCTGGAGACTCCTCCACCTTCCTGAAATATTTTTCTCCCCCCCCCCTTTTTTGTATGGAACTTCCAGTGAAGAATTCTGGGCACCTGAAAGCCTGCCTGTTTGTGATATTGCGGTTTCGTCCTATTCGAAAGATGCTGGATGTTTTTTTCCCCTTTGGCCCGACGGATCTATCTATAATACGTTGGGGTTTTTCAGGGATACAATAGGAAAGGATGCTGATGTTGCCACGGCGACAGGCCCTCCTTTCAGGGGCGGTTCCTGGGATGGCTGATGTCGGGGGGGGGGGGAGAGGGCGGAGCAAGGATGATCGGGAAGCGGTTCCTCTCGGCGCGGAGATCTCCGCATCCCAAGCTGGCATCGGGAGGCAAAGGCACCAACCTGGCGCCAGCTGACTGTTGCAGCTGGTGGGACCCGAGGCCACCCCTCTTCCCTGCATCTCTTTCCTTTCCATCCACCCCCCCAACCCTGCTCTCCTTCCTGTGCCTCTTCCACGCTCCTCCTCCTCTCCACCCCTTCATCTCTCTTCCTCCACCCTCTTTGTCAAGCCCCAGTGCCTCCAGGTAAGCCTTTGGGGCCCCGATCCGGGAGGCGGTGGTGGTTCTAGAATAGCCCCCCTTCACTGACTCCCCACATGGTGCTCACCCTCCTTGTCTCTGCATACAAACTGTGCCGCCTAGCGATGGCCAACCCTGAGACTCTGGCAGCAGTGCCCATCTACGAGGGCATGTGGGCACAAAGTCCTGGGCCGTACCAGGAGGTCTCCCCTGGGGTGAGCACCGACATCCAAGCCGCTCTGCACAGAATCCTGCCCGACTTGCACCAAGCCATTTCTGCCATCAAGCAAGCTGCTGGCCCCAAAGACCTCCAGGCTGGCATGGCAGAGGTCCTGACGCTGGTGGAAGAAGCCTGGGTGATGCCCACGGTGGGCAGGGAAGTCGCCAAGGGTCTGTGCGACGGGATTCGTCTGGAGGGAGGCCTGGACCTGCTGCTCTCCTTCCTTCAGTCGGCGGATCTGGAGACCAAGTGCCAAGCCGGGAAACTGCTGGAGCAGATCCTGGTGGCTGAGAATCGGTGAGCTGAGAAGGGGAGGGGGGGCTGAGGGAGTGGCTGCAGGGGTGGCCGGGGGTGGGTGGGACGGTGGGACGCCCAACACATGGAGGTGGTCAGTGTGCCAGCAATGCTGATGCACAGAGACAACTGACTATCCTCAGTGGCTAAGTAGGTGAGACTCAAATTATTGTAGCTGTTCTTTAACGGAAGTTTATTTTTATTTACTTACGTCATTTGGATTCCACTTTCCTCACTGAGTCAGATATACTTAACACAGGAGGCGGCATCTGACAAACAGTGCAATTGGGTTTTGTACTGCCAAAACCTGAAAACCAGCGGAAATCTGACACAGAGCCAAAATGACCCAGAAACGAAGCACGAGGAATATGCAAGCTTTCTGGTGTGACAGAATTCTGTTCCTAACCAAAGCTGCGGTACAAAACTAACCCGGTTCCCTGTTCTGCTTCACTCTGAACTGATCCACTTGAATCAGCCCTTGCCCCCAAACCCTGAAGTGAATATCTAGTGCAGCCAGGATTTGGTGGGCAACTCTGCTTTGGTACTCTGTAAGGTTGCCAAACTCCAGGTGGGGGCTGAAGATCTCCTGGGATTACAACTGATCTCCAGGCGACAGAGATCGGGTCACCTGGAGAAAATGGCTGCTTTGGGGGGGGTGGACTCTATGGCATTATATCCCACTGGAGTCCCCTCCCCTCTCCAAACTCCACCGCCCCCAGGCTCTGTCCCCACCCCAAATCTCTAGAAATTTCCCAACCCATAGCTGGCAACCCTGGTACTCTGGCATCCAAACTGCCTGGTTAGTCCGTACGGCACGTTTTGGGAGTGACATTGAAATGCCACATGGGAGAAGAAAACACACAGTTTAGTGGGAGGTGCTATTGGGTAGCTGCACATCTGAGGTCATCGTTAGAGCTCTTTGTGCAAGATGTTCTCTGAGCCAGGGACGAGAGTTAACGTTCTGTGCTTGGGCAGCTGGCTCATACCGTAGCCACTCCCCCCCCCCCCCGCACATACAAACCCAAGACAGACACGTGTGGGTAGAGGGAGAGGAAGACAGCAGAGATGCTGTGGCTTTCATTGTAGCCAAGGTATAAGGGAGTGGGCGGCTGTGAATTGTCAGGCAGAGTGAGAAAAGCTGTGTGTGTCTCTGGGGGCGTGTAAAGTGCCCTCAAGTCACAGCCGACCTATGGTCGCCCACTAGGGGTTTCAAGGCAAGAGGCCAACAGAGGTGTTTTGCCTTTGCCTGGTGGTCTTCTGTCCAAATACTAACCAGGGGCGACCCTGCTTCGCTGCTGAGAGCAGTCTCACCTGGGCCATCCTAGAACTTGAAAAATCCTCCCCAGCGGCCACGTTTCCGTTAGGAGCCTTTCGTTTTCATATTGTGGCACAGTAACTGTGTCTTGCAGTAGCGGTGAAATGTCCTGGGTTCTAGAGGCATGTAGTGATCAGCTCATAGTTTATTAGTGATTTCAACTTAACTCTAAGACAACTCTAGCATGCATGCAAAACACCGCACCCCCCCACACACACACTCCCCCCCCCATGGTAAGCTATTTACATAACATTACTACTTGATTGGTTTATTCCAGAGTCCTCGTCGGCTATTGTTCTTGTGCTCTAAGCTCGGCCAGTCTCTAGGGTGATTCAATCAGGGATGATTCAATTCCAATACATAATAAGTGGGCTCCTGAAAATTTTGGGAATCCGTGTCTTAAAAGGTGTAGCAGATGGGGCTGCCAGCCTCCAGGTGGGGCCTGGAGATCTCCCTGAAGGACAGCTGCCCCCCAGACGGCAGAGGTCAGCCCCCCTGGAGAAAACAGCTGTTCCGGAGGGTGGACTCTGTGACATTATTCCCCGCCGAGGACCCTGCCATTTCCAAACCTTGCCCTTTCTAGGATCCACCCCCAAATCTCCAGGAATTTCTCGGGCTGGAGCTGGCAGCCCTCGTGCTAGTAGATGCCCCCGTCCAGTCCCCCGACTATGCGGCGTCTGACTGAGGACGGGTGTCAGGGTGAGGTTGACAACCTACCGGCAGGTGCTAGAGGTCTCCTGGAATGACAACTGATCTCCGGACTGCTGCATAGATAGCTTATTTATGGCCCCGGTCACATGGGCCAGATAACGTGGTGGTGGGGGAGGCGTGGCTGTTCACCCCAGAGCAAAATAAAGCACGGTAGCCCGATCACACGGTCCCCTGAGTCTCCGTGCTTAGGCTGTTGGCTGGTGATCACATGGCAATGCTGCAGCGTGGCAAAGAAGCGGCGTGATCACACAAGCGTTTCATGTTTGTGCACAGTTCCGCGGAGCAGCACTGCTTTCAGTTTCATGTTTGTGCACATGCGCTTACGAAAAACATCCAGTTTGTGATGGGATGTGGACGGGCGCCAGATGCCATGGGATACTAACACTCCCGTGATCAGACGCCCGCCCGTGCCATGCGTTTTCTGGATATTAGTGCACTTTCTTTGGTACTTTTTAACTCCACATCTTTGGCAGGACGCCACGGGTTGGCCATGGGTGCGCTACGCTTCCCAGATGTTGCGGTGTGATCACGCCCCGAAAATCCGCCTGACATTTGTGCCTTTCATGCAGCAAATCCTCCGTGTGACCGGGGCCTACAATTGATTTATTTAAAATATTTATTCCACTTCTCCTGGAGAAAACGACTGCCTTGGCAGGTGGACTGTATGGTATGATACCCTGCTGAGCCCCTACCCTCCCTAAAGCCCACCCTCCCAGGCTGCACTCTTGAATCTCTAGACCTTCCTAAATTCAGAGGTGGCCACCTTATCTCAATGGAGTGGGGTCACCCGTGGGACTGTTTGGATCCCCCGCTTGAGGATTACTCAGGGAGAACTCCCGGAAACCCGGCATGGACTCCGGTCACATAAAAGAGGGCTCTGCTAAGAGAGGTCTTCGCTGTTCTCTGTGGAAGACGCCACACCCCTTAGCCAGGCTCTCTCCTACTTGCCAGCCAATGCTTCCTCTAATAGGGCTGCCAAGTGGGGGCGGGGGGCGGGTAAACCCCCACTTTGGAGGCCCGATTTCCGCCGCCGCGGAATCGGGGCCTGGGGGGAACCCCACCCCCCGAAGCGCAGCGTGGCTGCGTCACAGGAAGTGACGCAATCACGTAGATCACGTTGGGGGCGTGGCCCCAATCGTTGGAGGGAAAACTCTATGGTTTTCCCTCCAACGATTGGGGCCACGCTCCCAACATGCTTTACTTAATGCGTCACTTCCTGTGATGTTCTGGTGGCTTCGCGCGTGCGCGCACACATCCAGAAGCAGCTCCCGGACCCCGGCGACGCTCCCCCGCTGGTGAGTACGATTGACTTGGCAACCCTATCCTCTAAGCTGTGGAGTCTTGTGAGCCAAAATCCTACTTTGTGAGCTCCTGGCATTTAAGCTGTGAGCAGGTGATTTGGCTGCTGCATAATTTAGTTTGCTCTGGAGCCATCCTTCCTGAGCGGAGACAGAAAATGTGTGAGCCAGAGGCTAAAAAAACTGTGAGCTAGCTCACACTAACTCAGCTTAGAGGGAACACAGCTGCCAGCCCCGCCTGCTTCCTGCGGGCTGAATGCAAACCACGACTGTGGTTTGGTGTGTTCCTGTGAGAGGCCAAGGAGCATTAGCTAATGGCTTGGCTGCATCCTCTGATGCTATGCGCCGCCTGTTCTCAGTCAGGCATGGAGGTTTTGCAGCCTGAGAGTGCCAGGCCCCTTTTAAAAAAATGAGCAAATTTCTAGCCCCTCCCCCACTTGCTGCCATGTTGGAAATGGCTGTGAGAAGAGAGCCGGTCGGCCACTCCCTCCTCTGGCCAGTGGCTGTGGTGGGGTTGAGCGGAAGGCACCTGACTGGCCCTCCTTGGGCCACTTTGAAATTTCTTCCTCCAAAACCTAGATTGTGGGACTCATCCCTTGAACCCTGTGGAAAGGAGTTGCTAAGGTTGCCAGCAATGCTCCCTCTAAGCTGTGGAGTCTTGCGAGCTAAAATTCTATTTTGTGAGCCACTGGCATTAAAGTTGTCAGTGAGCCATTTGTCTACTGTATACATTAGTTTGCTCTGGAGCAGTGTTCCCTCTAAGCTGAGTTAGTGTGAGCTAGCTCACAGTTTTTTACCCTTTATGCATGTATTTATGAATGTGTGTCATTGTAAAATAAGGAATACTGACCACTGAGGATGGCCCGAAGGGGCCGAAACGCATATGGTCCTTAGGTCAAATGTTTTACCCATCTATTGGATATTTACAGGGGTCATTTCGGAGAGAAAGAGGTGCAGGAGCTTATTAGCATAACTTATTTGCATATGCCACACACCCCGACATCACCAGAAGTGTGTCAGAAGGCAACGCCCACCGCTCAGGCTCCACTGGACTGTTTTGGATTGCTAGTTATTGGGGGGGTGGGGAACGCGCAGATCTGTCCTCGCAGAGGAGGGAGAGCTTGTACCTGAATAAAACTTGGTCTTAAAGGTGCCACGGGACTGTTTTGGACCGGGGGGCCGGGGGGGGGGCTCTGCAGCTTACCTGGCTGCTTCTTGCTCTGACTGAGGGATGCTGGGAGCAGGGGGTGGGGCTTGTTGCATGTACCCACCCCCTGGGCTCTTTACTGCCGGAGCTCCGCTCCTGTGCGCTCCTGCAGGAAATGACCCCTGGATATTTATAACAATCAGTTCTGAATGAAATATGTTCTTTGAGTCTGATATTTAGACTTCTCTTTTAACCTTTTAATGTTTTATTTATGTGTACACCTTAATAAACGTTTGTATATTTTAAATTTTAATTTACCTGTAGCTTGACCCTGTTAGATCGCAGCTTAAAACAGCAGTCCAGGGGATCAAGGCTCCGATTTGATTAAGAAAGGCAAATATTTTGGCTCTTTTCAGTTCAGAGACAAGACAGCTCAGTGGGAACATGCTAGAGGTTTACGAAATTATGCATGCGATGGAGAAAGTGGATGGAGGTAGCTTTTTCTCCCTCTCCCCAAATACTGAAACCAGGA